CGACTGCATGCTTGCAATGTGCAGGCTGGCTGGATGGCAGTAACAACTAGAAGATGGTGTTCGTTCGTTAGTGTTGTGGATATTTTCATCCACCTCCCCAATACCACCACCACCATTCCATAATGAAAAGCGAATTAAAATACAAATGTTGTTTCCACATCAAAGCCATAATATTGATTGTCCTTGAAAAAGGAAAGAGAGAGCGAAAGGCACAAAACCATATGGACGAAAAATGCACCAACACAACTTGCTCGCAGTACATTCTACCTCCCTTGGATGTCTTGTCCGTATAGCGAGTATAGAGACCCTTTGCTCGCGACACACACAAAAGCAGCTGATGTTTGCCACAGACAAAACGACAGACTATGGAGGAGAACAATTGAGTGTGTATGCACCCGATACCCAAAATAAAGGTGGTTGAAGTCTCGATTCAATCTTCTCTCGGCAAACAATTATTTCTTCCGTATACCGATTTGGGTGTCCCCACCATATTTTTCCTTACGAATACTCATAAATTTTGCTCCACTCTAGAATTCGTCAAATTTTCTTTTACAAAAAAATACAACATTTTCCAACGGAGCATTCTGGTCTTGTTTTCGAAGGAAAGGACTCAGCTGTTCGAGTGTCTGCGTCTGGCATATTTATGTCTGTGTTATGTGTCATGCCACCGTGAACGACCGCACCCAACGGACAGACATAAAATAAGATATTGCAAAAATCTTAATGCCTCAAAGATAAAGGATGCAAATGCAGACAAAGGAAGAATGAGGCGGGGCGATTACTTACCAGCAATGACCGTGTCACTCAGATTGAATTTAGTTCCTGTTTTAGGAAAATCCTTCAACTTTCTGTTGGTCAGAATCAATTCTCCACTTAGATGAGCCTCCTCAAGAATGCGTTCCAGAGAACGTGCCAACTGATGATGGTGCCCACCGGATGCAGTACCACTGCCTCCGCCAGACCCAGAAGTGCCGCCACCGCCCCCAACCACTCCCACACTGGTATTGTGGAGTCGGTTGTAGACGGCAGCCGTCGCTGCCATCCTCATTTGAAGTAAATCTTCCTCTCTACAGAGGAGGCGCTGCTGCTTTCAAAAGAACTGCTACTGTTCCCCTTTTCACGATACACACAACTCGAAAAATCCTGTATCACTTGCGCTCAATATCGTCGCATCGGATTTATTTCATTTTCGTATACAAGACACTGATATGGACCCAATTTAACTGATTTCAATTCGAATTTGTGTAATTTTCATTTATGATTTGCTTTCTTTTCCACTTAATTTTGGGCTAACTTTTTCCGATTTTATTTTTGTTTTATTCCCACAGACACACACGCACACTCTCTCACACATCACATATTTATTCCAATTCCTAGAATATATCTTCCCCTTTATTTTCTTTTAACTACGTCCGACGCGAACGTACTTTCGCGTTTCAGGGCTGTTTTCTTTCTGAGTTAGGGAGACATAAGTCGACTAGAAATTTGAAAAGTCGATGTCGCCCTCATCTGTGGTGAAAATCTCACAGTCGACTACTCGTAATCGATTATCGATTCAAAGATCATCGATTTTTAATCGACTTCTTTTTTTAACCGTTGAGGTTTTTTTGGCTTCAATTTTTTTTTAATTTTTTCCATTAATTTTCTAACAACTTTGTTGGCTTTCAGAATTAAAAACTACAGACATTACTACACATGGTTCAAAAAGGAGGCAGAACAGCTTTGTTAATATACAGAAATACAGCCCTGAGTCAGAATTATTCAAAATTATATTCGACAAGTTGTTTTCATTATTTGGGTATTCTTCCTCATGTTTAAAATGAGGAAAATGGAATATCTGGATTTTCTTTCAAAAATAGGATCGAAACAATTCAAACTTTCAATACCATGACAAACTGTTTATTATCGTCAGTGAGCGCCCCAATATACATTTGTTCCAATCAAAATTGGCAGAAGTCGGGCACACTTAGAAAAAAATTGTAATCAGCTGGTAGCTCTATCTTACCCTTTTATAGTACCATGTTACTACAGCTATTACTAGTTGTGTTCCAGTACTTTTTTTAGTAGTAAAACTAGCAGAAGAGAGAACAGTTCGAAATGTCATTCTCATTCAGGTGTGCTCAAAAAATAAGGGAACGGAAAATTAGCAGAAATGCGATAAAATGTCAAAATTCAAAAGTAAACTGTCTAAATCGGACTGGTGAAACCTTACTGAAAAGGACGCCAAAATTTAAAAAAAATGAGTATTGAAGACGATAAGTTAAAATTAATAATCTATAATAATAATTGATAACCTGATTCCTCATTAAGCCAGTCCTCTTCACTGCTGGAATCACCCAAAAGTGAATACATCAATTGCTCCATATTTTCTCTTTTTGTTTTTTGCACGACAAATATTAGTTTTTCCTTTAGTTTTTAAGTTGATGATTTTCTTCATTTTTGTTGTGACGCGCGAACATTGAAATGTATCAATACATTTTTCAACCTTGTTAGCCCTGCCAATTAAATGTCAAATTTACAATATGCACATTTCTCCTCCGCCAAATTCATGTAGCAAAAACAAGCAGAAATGTGCACCACTCAGCGCCATTTTTTTCTCGAGAGAGCTGCAAGTGTTTCTAGTTTTTGGAGTACCGGAACGCGTTGTAGCAGAATTAGTTCTAATTAGTACTAATTTGTAGGTTCTGGAACACAACCACTATCATGGTAGAATTAAGACGGTAAAGTTACATGTTTAAAATTTTTCAAAATTATTCATTTGCCAAACCCATTGAAAAGAAAAAAGCTGGATGTTATTTTCTGAAAAAAGGTTATCTTGATTGGTCTCGGACTGTTGTTTCGTTTTACGTTTTTTTACGTATCAAACGCTGTACCTATCAATTATTTATACAGGGTGAGATAAAAAAAATGCAACAAAGTCAAACGCCATAATCTTTTAATATCTTTTAGATTTATTGAATGAAAGAAAAAAAATATCAGAAATAGCATCTAATTTTAGAATAAGCTTAGATTAGTTCAAATTGACACAAATTATGGCCTTCAAATGGCCAATGAAACAGTCACACGCTGCCGAATGTTGTTCTGCGGTATTTTGGCAACTTCAAAGGAACTGGAAAAATTCAACTCTGTGCTGGAGTCTTATAGTGTCAAATAAACTTTTAAATATGCACCAGTAGGCTTTATTTAATTTTAATTGTTTAAATAAGATATTTATGTTGGGAAAAACCCACGAAACAAGAGTGGAATTTCGGGGTTATTCCACAAGATGGAATCTATAATAGTAGGATAATACAGTTTGATCACAAAATTGTACAATTTTTATCTATTTACGTCGAAAATGTGCATTTATTTTGCAACCAAATTTGAAACAATACACACACATACACAAGATGTGTATATGTTTTGGCAGGATAAGGACACCGAAAGAAAAAAATTGTATTTGAGGGGTAGCTTTGTTCTACCTTCTGTAGCATGGTATAAGAATACAGGTAGTCGCATCGACACAGCTGCTGGGACAATGAACTGTCAAATCGATTTTGATATTAAAAATCGTGAATGAAAAGTTATTGAAATTTGTAAAAATTGTTGAAAAATACATATCATTAAAATCTCCGAGTTGCGTCGTATAAGAAAACATATAAAAATCAACTTATTTTTGACAAATCACTTAAAAATGTTTGACATATCAATGTTCCCAAGCGTTGATGCATCCATGGTACAATGAATTCAAGGTAGGGCAGAACTACCATATGATTTAATTTTTTTTATTTTTCTGGCTTAATATGTCAACTTCATTTGCTTATGTGTGTGTCTTCTTTTCAATAATAAAAAATTGTTCAGAAAATATTCAAATTCGGGTGTTTTCAAAATGCTTATTGCAACGAATGCATCGACAAAATCTACAGTTTTTGTCGCGAAATAAACCATAAGAGATATATAGAACATGATATTGAAAAGAAATTTTGACCATTCATTCAGTTTTCGCGGTTTTAAATTATTTATTCAAAATCAATGCAACAAGTTGTTTGCTTTTTTATTGTTTTGATAGCAATTCTGACATTACAAGCCAAACAGGTAGACCTCTATACTTGAAATTTTTTCAAAGTTGACCTACCTTCTCTTCATTATACCATGGATGCATCTACCTACTATATTCATCTACCATGTTCTGTAGCTAATGAGAGCGGTGTTGTTTAGAATAAACTTGAAATGCGGTAATATCTATCTTCTGTTCCGTGAGAAGTGTGCAAATGAAATAATGCATTGAATTATTGGCACCACTTTTCCTCATTACATTTTGAAATTTATTTTCATTGGCGCCATATATGTTCTATTACTGGTAACATTTTTCGGTATACCATAAGTCGTCTTTTTTTTTATCCCTAATAACATTACCGTCAAAGCAAAGACACAAGTTATGTTCCAGACGTAAAAACATTCTACTATTTTGCACGTTTTCGCCAAAAAAAGAAGTTTCCACTGCAATGAATTTGGTATCTATTTGTTTTTCGACTCTTAAAATTTAAATTACTTATTGATTTCCCACAAGAAAGAATTGATATTTAAGAATTAATATTAACTCTCCTTGGTTCAATTTTCCACAAAAATAATGAAACCAAAAGTAAGAATTTCTTGATTATGTAACTATGGATGACGAGCAATGCTCTGTTAATCGGCTGAATCGTTTTCGAATATTATTGTAAAGTATTTTTTGGCTTGAAAACTAAAAGACTACCAAAAATCTATGAAAAAAATAAATCATTGGTATCAAAATCGAAAATCGATAACAAAATATGAATATTGCGATTTTTGCCAGAGGCAAAAGTCGATTTCTACTTTTAGATGTTTAACCATCTAAAGTCGACCTACACATCCCTTCTCTGTCAAATCTCCGCTGTGCTCTCTTCGGTTTGCAACGTACGTTTCATCCCCCTTCAAAAATAATTTTTATTCATTTTCTAAAGAATCAAACAATTTTAAATAAAAATCATTCAACATAACTAACGCTATCAATTTAGCTGTCGGTGAATATACGAAACGTCGCGTGTTATATAATGAAATAACTAGACTGTGGTCCGCATTCAAATCACGATTTTTGAAAACAATAACAATTTCCCTAATAAAATAATTGCTGCAGTTAATGAACACAGCAAAAAATGGTGATTTGTGTGTTTGTAAATACACAACAAACAAGATAAATGTGTCAATGCAGCAATTGAGAAAGAGAAACAGTCAACAAAATAATAAGTTCGTCCAATAAATTTCAATTGAGAGCGCCAATAGAGAAGTAGAAAAAATAATTTAGTTTCCAAATAACCGTCACATTTGTACATTGTGTAGCGTCTCATTGTGTCAACGTGTGTTGTGTTCTTATTTTCGGGGTTGCATAAATTAACAGCGTGACAAAACACAAAAAATACCTAACAAATATTTGCATAATAAAGTTATTAAAATATAGTAAAGGCCATCGTCGTCGCCGTCGTAGCTGAGATCAGCCAGAAACAAAAACAAACGGAAGAATTTGTAACAAGAAAAAAAGACCAAAACGAAACGAAAATCTTGAATTTGGAAAAAAAATATTTGTTGTTTATTTTTTTCATCTCTGCTTTGTGTTTATATTCCGGCTCAGCTGTTTGTTGTGTGCGAGAGAGTGGTGTTGCCAACCTCTCAGTTGTCATCTATACTCCGGGTTATACGGTAAAGGTATCTTGAAATACCACTAAGGTAAGTAAATCGAATAAGAAAAAAAGTCGCCGGTTCTGATTTGGAAAAGAAATACGTGAGTTCGTTTCGCGAGTGATTAAAAGTGTCGAGGCTAAAATTCTAGTTGGCATCCGATCGAGTCAGAAGATTTTTCCCTAAATTTCAAAATAATTTGAAGTAGGCTGTAGCCCTTTGGAAGTTATTCATATTGGTTTACATCATTAAACATATTCGATACGTTTTACATTTGATGGATATTTAAGGCATAATTAGTTTAAATATTTTTAGTTTTTATTTCCCTCATTCAAAATTTCTGACCATCGCGGTACGACTAGATCTAAGCCTGTGTTAAAAAAATAAATAAATAGAAATTATGAGTGATCAAAATGAGGCAGCTGGCGCCACAGGTGGCGCTGAACAAACATCAACAACAGCAACATCACAGCCTATTCCTGCTACACCCAGATCCAGTGCCACAACTCCTACCTCATCTGTTACCGGTGCACCAGTCAGTCGCCTAAAGGCTCCAACAAATTTCAGCGGTTCATCGTCTTCAGTTTCGAAAATTGGACGACCATGCTCGCATTCAGTTCCAAAGGCAGGCCCTCCACCCCGAGGTATGTATTTTAAATCATTAATTTTCATTTATTATGGAACCTATTTCTTTTAATTTTTTAAACTATTGTTGTATTTATTTGATGGGATACTGTTCCTTTATTTGTTATTAAAAAAAGTTGGCCAAGATTCCATTGTTGTTATTATATGGTTTAGGGCTAAGGCACGAAATACTATGAATTGGGAATGGGCTGTAAATACTCGTCAGTTCAGTTGGTGTTGGACATACGCAGAGGAGAAAATTTCAAGCCCCGATCAAAAGCCGGCTACTTAAAAGGAGTATCATTTTGGAAAGGTTATAGTGTCAACAATAATTTGGCATAAATGTTATAAAGGACCTTTTTTCGACGATTTTTTTTAAATCCGGGTCCAAAAAATCAATAATTTTGATACAACAACGGAACCGTTTTAAATCACTCCATCACCTATATTGTCTAAACCGGGTCTTGGAGCCGAACTTTCGGATCAAATATCCGGGTCCGTCCCCCAGAGAAATACTTTCCCGGATTCAGGGTTCAAATACCTACTTCTAATCCGAGAATTTTTACTAAACTAAATGGTGGTAGTACTCTAAATGCCAAATCTAAAACAATTCCATTCAATGCGGGGCTGTGCAATTAAAAACTTGCCGCGTATTGTGCGGGCCTGTGACACACCGGGGAAACGTCACGCACATCTTCGTCAATTCGTGTCCAATACGAACTGGGACGACTACACCATCTTGATTGTAATTGCGCCAAGACTACCCTGGTTTGTTTAGTCTGCTGGCGTTCTTCGTCTGCAATGGATGGCCGTGGACTCCGAGGCCGGCATTGATCCTGTGATTGCTGATAGCATCGGTATGAATGCCACTCAGACCTACCTGAAAAGCTTCTTGATCTAGAGGCTCACTCTTATAGCGTTGGACCTCTAGATAGTGTATGTCTATCCTGACACACCTGGGTGGGGGAGTTTTATCCACCATATGATGGTCGGGATAACTCTCACGATAACACCCAAGCAGCTACTGCAACGAAAGTATGTAATTATGCTGACGTAAGAGAAGGACTTTTGCCACCTTATGTAGATGGTCCACTGGTGTCATGAGGAGGCATCCTGTCGCAGTTCTCAGAGCTGCATTCTGGCAGGTCTGGATGTGCTTCCACTATGAGATAGGGGTACAACCTTTCACATGTGTCATCGACCACTGGGCCCGACACCATGATTGTACAATCATCCGCATATGTTACAATCTCTATGCCGTCTGGAGGGCGAGGGATTTCGGAAAGGTGGTGGTTAAACAGTTCACTTCACCTTGGGGAACTCGCTGTTTCACTCTAGGGACTTTAGACTTAGACTACTCATGTCAGACCCAACAAAGTATATGTATTCTTGATCAGCGTAAAGTTCAAAGACGATTTAGCGCTGTCTGTCTGTTGTAATCACGCTATCTTTCGAAATAATTGAGATAGAAGGCTAAACATTTGCAGACATGTTTAGTAGAAAGTTTAAGTTCGTAGGCGGGTTAAGTTCGTAAATGGGTCATGTAGGTCCACGTTTTTATATTACCTTAATATAACGGTACCTCTCGATATTCGGTATTTTGATAATTTTAGCGACATTATTTACGGGAATTTGATATTTGGAGTTCGTAATGGATACTACAGCCTATGACAGAAAATTGTTTGTGCTGGTCAACGTCTTCGTATAGCCCCCATATAACGGTACCTCCCTATATTCGGTATTTTGATGATTTTAGCGACATTATTTACCAGAATTGTTTCAAATTTGGCATTTGAAGTTCGTAATGGATATTACAGCCTATGACAGAAAATTGTCTGTGCAGGTCTAACGGTACTTCCCTATATTCGGTATTTTGATGATTTTAGCGTCATTATTCACCGGAATAGTTTCAAATTACGTATTTAGAGTTCGTAATGAGAACTACCGTCTAGAACAGAAAATTGTTTATGCAGGTCCAGGGGCTGGATTCTTGTTATATGAAAATATGAAGTGAAAAATATTTCCTTTATAACATTTTTCATTTGATATTTCTTTCCTTTATAAAAGTTTTCATTTCACATTTTCATAGAATATAGAATTGAAACCCAGGTCTTCGTATAGGCCCAATATATCAGTACCTCCCTATGTTCGGTATTTTGACGATTTTAGGTACAATACTCACCGAAATTGTTTGAGATGTTGTATTTGAAGTTCGTAATGGATGTTGCAGACTGTGACAGAAAATTGTCTATGCAGGTCCAGGTCTACGTATAGCTCATATATAACGGTACCTCCCTATATACGGTACATATTTAATGATTGTATCTATATTATTGAATGTTAATTTCATGTTTCGAATTTAAATATTGTAATGGCTTATGACAAACAATGCCTATGGCGGTCCACGTCGTATAAAAATTTAAAAGAATTTTTAACGGATTTTATTTTTTGAAAATTTCCAAATTCGTTCCAAATGGTGGAGGGTATTCAAAGTTCGGCCTGGCCCAACTTACTGTTTTTTAACTTGTTCAGTATTACCATTGAGATTCCGTCTGGGCCCTCTTATGCTCCTGTACCAACCGGTTGACTTCCACTGTCACTGATTCTGATTCGACTCTTAAAGCTATCGTACATTTAAACCATTGCTCTGATGATTTTATGTGTCATTTTTCATTGCGTGGATCACACGCAGTAGCAATTTTCATCATTCGAATCCAGCCAAGGGACTGAAGATTGTTATATATTTTTCCGACACACCAATTACGTAGGAGTATACAATGTAGCCGTATTGGTTACATTGTAGTTTACATAACAGCCTGTTTATCATCTTTTTAACATGTAAGCAACCTAATCTTACTTGATTCTCTGTGCCATATTAATTACCATACACTTTTCCCCAATTACCAAGCAGTGAAAAAAATGTCTGCAATCGACAGTCGCATTTTATGAAAGATTGAATTTAATTCAGGCAAATAATCCGACCTTAGCCTTGTTTTGCAAACTCATGCATACCGAGTGGTACTTGAGAGCACTTTTCTGTGTCTGTGTTTTTTGTCTTCGGATGTAATCATTAAATGATTTCAAACATTGCGCATTGTTTCCCACACGGAAGATTTCCCAGACTAGTAGCGTGCAACAAACCGGTAGATAAGTCGCTATTTGTGCTAAATGTTGTTTTCGGAAAGGGGGCCAACGACGCTTAGGTGGTGGTGGCAGATGTATTCTCTGCATAACTATAACAATAATAATTTCGGTTAATAATTCAACATCATAAACTGAGACAAGATTAAAACATTGCTTTTACGTAATTCCAAGCAACATTATAATTAAATGTCAGCCACATAATACCGGTCGTTGGTGGGTTGGTTGGTTAGTTATGTATGTATGGATGTGCCAGTGGTAAAGACGAGTTGCTGAGACCGAACTACGGATGACGATGTCTTTTATTCCTAACTAACTACGTTTCTTGCCTTTGTTCACTCACAAAGCAGTTGCCAGTCATAATGAGAGGAAGAAAATCATTCTTTTTTGAAATTTATTTGACTGACTGTGACTTAAGTGTATTGCAAGTTCATTTACGTACTTCTTTTGTATGCTCCGTTGTTTCAAAACAAATGTTCTACATGTGTAATACCATAACATGTTGTTGTCTTTTGCATGACCTCTGCCACTGGTCATGAGGCAACAGAAAGATTTATTGCTATTCCAACTAGTGGAATTTTTCTGGCCAAAAAAGGGCCAACCAATGTGGCGCCTTTAGATTTCTTGTTTTGCGATGGTAGGTTTTTTGTTCGAATGTAGACCGATGTTCCAATTCTTTTATCATTTCTTGTAAATACAATTTCATATTGTGGCTCGAAGTGTGGGAATGAATATTTTGGAGTAAATCCAATTTTTTTTATTTTTTATATTATCTCCATTTTCTTTCCAACGTTTTCAAACCGGAATTTGTCTGACAATAAAGTATGTAATAAACAAACAAATGAGTGAGTTCTTAACTCTTGAGGAACCTTTGTGGAATATGTAAAAAATATTGAAGTTTTTGATACGATGCAAGGTTCTAATGTTTATTCTCCGTAGCATTTTATGGTGGCTAGCGTTCTGGTAATCCCACTACGTGACAGCATTCACACTGTAATGGTTGTTGTTGTGACAATACTTATCTGCGTGTTGCTTTCCGCTAATTTAGTTCCAACTCCATATTAAAAAATTCAGCTGCCTTCATAGACTGTGGCCAAACATTTTCAGAAATCATTTGGGTATGTTTGAAAGGGCAATTGAAAAGATGCCGTGTGGTCATGCTGGTCAACTTTAGCACATTTTCATTGATCCGCGCCCAATACGAATTGGGACGACTGCACCGTCCTAAACGTAGTTGATCTAAAATAAACCTTGTTTATTTAGGCAGCCGACATTCTGCATTTGCAATGGATGGGGTGGACTCCGAGGACGGCATTCATACTCCAATTTTTGATGACATCTGTGACTGTATCAGTAGGACTGCCGCTCCGACCTGCCTGATAGGCTTCTTGTTCCATAGGCTCTCTCTTATAGCTTTGGACTTTCCTCTCTAGATCATGCACGTCTTTCCTGACACGCCTGGTTGGTGGTCAATAACATCAGTATGAATGCTACTCTGACCCCAATGATACATCTTGATCTTATAGCGTTGAACCCCCCTTTCTAAATTGGAACTACACGATCCTGACACGACTGGGCGAGGAAGTTTTATCCATCATATGAGGGTTTGTATTATATCTGAGACCACTAGGTGGTACAGCAATGCAAACATATGGTTATGCTGAAGTACGGACGAATTCCTTGTTAATGCACTTATCCCCTTCTTCCAAACTACGAAAATATCCGTCACTATGTCAACAGCCACACTTATTACAACGCCCAATAAAAGAAATATTTTACAACAAACAACAACAACATCTATCGATCGAAACTCAAAAAATAAGGAGGTACCCCATTGGATGAATCACCATTACGTCGTTCAACGCGGCGTGAAAGCGAA